TAATTTACTCATCATAATCATATTGCTTAAATCTCTTTCTAGTGCTGTTGTTTTTTTTTGTTTTTTTTTGCTCCCCCAACTTTTGATTCCTATAATCAGGATGATGTGTTACTCTTTGTGAAGTAAGAGGAAGGACCACAAGCACATGCTTGTCATATAGAAAGACTCGGTTTTCCCATCATCACCAGTTAAAAGGATAAGTCTGAGCTGCAGTTACAAGGCATTGCTATTATATATAGATGCATATACATACAAACAGATGTCAGTTAGAACAATTTGATTATTTTATAAAGTTGCATTTGTTGTAGCATATAAGCCACTACAGTTAAAAGTGTGTGAGAGAGAAATCTCTTAAATGGATAAATCAATCAAGAAATTATGCCAATTTCACGGGGCATTGAGTTGGTCTAGGAATTGTACAGCCTAAAATTATACTAATTTAGAACATTCAATGACCATTACTGGGTTGTCATCAGCATCTTCAGTCACAACAGCAAGAGCACCGTGGTGCAGCATTGATTTCATTAAAATCTCCTTTTTCACGGCAGAAATCTTCTCTAATCATTGTTATTGCTCAGTTCTATAAATCTAAAGCTGCCTCCTGCAGTTCAACAAAACATTATCCACTTGTATCATATGTTCAGCTAGTTGCTGGTTAACATCTCTTGCCATTTCTTTGATTCTTTACCTTCCGTCATCATTAGGAGGAACTGCTTTCAGCTCTTTTCCTCCTCCCCCCCTCTCTTTGTACACGATTCCCCAAACAATTCTACTCACATGTCCATAGCCATAGGCAAAAACAATCCTTTGCAGCTAGATGAGGCTTTTTAGCAATCTGTAACAGGTTGTGGAATGAGGCTTAGAAAGCTTTGAGTGCTTATTCCTTGACAATAAACTCATATGACAAAAAGAGAAAAAATATTCTATCTTCATTTAATGAGCCTCCTTTTTTCCGTTAAATAAAATAAGATTTAACATTCAGGGCCTTTGTTCATTCAATGCAACCCATTAGCAAAATTGCTCTCTTTGCTATAGCTTTAGTGCAGTACAGGAAAACTGTACAAGACAGGAATTTAGCAGTCGACTAAACTGTCACAGTGAGCTTTCACTTGCCTTACACAGTGTTCTGGCTGCCAATCTAGTCAGTGAGTGACACTGTATCTTGCTACCTTCGTTTATGAGACAGGAAAGGCAAAGAGTACAGTGTGATTCTTACACCCAGATATGTTATCTGGGAGAGGTTAAGATGAGGGTTAGCTTTCCTCATCCCACCTGAGCCAGCCTTAAACTAGTATAGACAATTCGGTTCACATTCACACCAAACATTTAAGGCATTATGACGCAAACAGCTTCCACCAAAGAATACTGGGAACTGTGGTTTGTTAAGGGTTCAGAGAGTTGTTAAGACACCCCTATTTCCCTCAGAGAGCTACAGTTGCCAGTGTTCCCTGCAAAGGCGGCATACAGTGGTAACTCGGGTTACAGACGCTTCAGGTTACAGACTCCGCTAACTCAGAAATATTGCCTCAGGTTAAGAACTTTGCTTCAGCAGAAATCGCGTGGCAGTGCCGCAGCAGCAGTGGGAGATCCCATTAGCTAAAGTGGTACCTCAGGTTAAGAACAGTTTTGGGTTAAGAAGGGACCTCCAGAACGAATTAAGTTCTTAACCCGAGGTACCACTGTATTACTAAACCCCTCTGCAAATTGTAGCTCTGTGAGAGGAGGAGAGGTTTCTTAACAACTCTAAGCACTCTTAAAAATTGACAGCTCCCGGAATTCTTTGGGGGAACCCATGACTTAAATGTATGGTGTGAATATGGCCTTATGCTATCATATAGACTTAGCATTGGCTGAAGCAGAGTATGTTAAACTAGCAGAAGTTACAGTGGTGTGGGGAGGTGCAGAGAAGCAGAGTTCTACTGGATCCTAAATCTCCTCCATCCGCTGATACCACCCGCAACATATATCTTACACTACAAAAAATGCAGGTGTAACTGAATTCACCCCACACAAATTAAAGGGCAGAAAATGAAGGCTTGAGGGGCCGAACCTAACCCCAGCTGCTCAATGGTGGAGCCATATGGAGTGGTAGGTCACCACTGTTATCTCCAGTGCTGTCACATAGAATAGGTGGAATGGAAGATGGATGGGACCCGGGGTAGCCTGGAGCTGGCAGGGATAAATGGTTCTTTAAAACTAGGGTGTGATTTGTCAGCCCAGCACCAAGATGATCCCAAATTCTTACTTCTGAGTTGTTGTGATTGTGATTATGGTTATGGTTATGATGATGATTACTGAACATGAAGACTGCAAACCAATTATTTCTTTACTAACTGTAACCCACCCACCCCCCAAAAAATGTTTACTGCATGTTATTGGGAATCTGTGCCACTACTGTCTTTAAAATGTTGATTTAAACAGGTATGAACTCTAGCATTATTAAGCCCCCCCCCCCGCCACTAATGTATTATAGGAGAAGAAACAATATCAGATACATTTGTGGAAAAATGGGTGTTATTCACAATGCATCGGAATAGGAAAACCAGAGTTAATGTAAACCACCCATGTGTTATTTTCACTCATATATGACACACCGCTTATGTTTATCCACATTATAAATTGTGTTATATTATTGTACGCATTTTAAAATAAATAAATAAGCTGTCCTTGTTTTCTCCTGATGACTCTTGCTTTCCTCCAAACTGCACCCAATGGAATGCTATTGTCTCCAACAGCAGGTCACTCACAAGCTTAATTATGATGCAAGGAAGTGTTTTGGGTGGGCGAAGGCATGACTGGGGTAGGGACAGTTGAGTCTTTCTTTCTTTCTCACCCTCCCCCACAGCAATTGGGCTTGGAGGACCCCTTGATGGACCTTGGAGGCTACACTAGATGCCTTTTTTCCAAGCCTTATTGGAAGAGTAGGATGAGGAGGGGATTCTGCCCCTGAGGAGGAGGTCCCATGAGCTGCACCTATTCTGCAATTTCTGAAATTTCCCATCCCTGATCAAAAAGTGAAGTTTTGGTGCCAGGCTGCAACCTATTCATCAGTTGAGGCAGATGGTTAATCAGCTGAGGATGTTGAATTGATGGGCAGCACTAGGTCATCACAAAGAAAGAGAAAAAATATCACACTGGTGTTGGAGCATTATTTAAAATTAAACTGTGAGGAACCCAAGTTTGAAAAGCTTCCCAAAATATTTATGTCCTTAATTCCATCTGACTTGGCATTTTTCAAAAAAATCAAAAATCCAATAACTTTCATATAGGTACGGAACCTTCCTGTCTCTACTTCAGTTGCTTTCTTCCACCCAATTTTCTCTTTTCTGTGATCTCCCAGTAACCTCCTCCCACTCTCTCCTCCAAGTCTATTATTACATCCCCCACTGCCACCAGAACAGCATTTTTCAGCCCAAACAGCTGAATCTCTTTCTCTTGCCCGCCTCCAGAAAATTTACATTTCATGCACAGTGCCCATAAAGTAAGGGTATACTCAGTACCCTGTACTGAGATGAACTCTGAGATTCTTTTATGATCATCGGAAACAAGAAGCCTGACTTTTGAAATGGAAGCCTGAGTATATTGGGGGAAATTATCCTGTGGCTCTTTTTTTCACAAGAAAGCTAAGTTCTTCACCAGAAAAGTATTTTCCCCACCCTTCCACACAATGATTTCAGGCAGAAGAGACAGAGCAGATGAGTAAGGTCTGACTCATAACTATTGATGCAGGTGGGCATCTATGTTTGTTGAGGATAGGGGTGGAGGACCTTGGCCCCAGGCCTGGAACTTCTCCTCAAGCCGCACCTCACACTGCTCCTACTCTTCACCCCAACTATTTTGGCCAGATTGGAATGTGTCATTGAACTCTGATAATGTCTTTTGCTTGCCTGGATGGAGGCTAGTGAGGAGTGTGGGAAAGTGTGTCAAAGCTAGTCTATTGTACAAATGAAAAAAAATTCTTTTTCTCCTCTGTTCACTGATGCTGCCTACCACCAGCATGTTGCCCTCAGAAGGTTGCACAGAATGGACTGATAAAGGCTGCTCACCTCTAGTTTAAAAATGGATCACTGATAACATAGGGTTTTTTTTTGTTTTTTTGTTTTTAAAAGGAGAATAACATTCTCTATATTGCTGTAATTTGCATTTAGTATAGAGTCCTATTGGATGATGTCATTTTCTTGTTGCTAATATCTGATTCTAAACTAAGCTGGTCAAAAAAACAAGGACGTACCATAGTTCAAGTCTTGGTTCTGTACCAAGCTATTTGGGTTAAGTGTTAATTCACTAAAGGATAGTGAAGCGGTTAAGGACCACAGAGGTCTAAATTTCTCAAGCAGACTCAGTGAAGTCACATCCTCTTTTTCCTGAAAGGGAAAAAGTAAGCCTTGTTTCCTGTTTTGTCTCTCTCTGTTCTTGAATCTGCAAGCAAGGAGGCAGACACGCCTTTACATAGCTCCCTGCCTCAGGCATGTGTCAGAGGCTGTCCTTGCTGTATTCTTCAACTAAGAACATTTTCCTGCATTTTATTGATGCTGCTAAGGACCATGCACCACTGTAAGTAAAGTATATTTTAAACTTACTTTGCAGTCTGTGGTCTGTTTCATTGCATGGGGATTGAAACGTGGAGCCAGCTGCTTCAAGAAAGGGAGGGCAGGAGATGGGACATGACATGATTCCTTAGTAAGTCTAGGTCTACAGTCTAACTAGCTAACATTTTAAACAATTAAAGGGACAAATGCATTTGCTTTTGAAAGAGGAGGGGTTGCTAAATGGCATGTGCAACAGAGGTAAAACATTAAACTGGAATCTCAGTGTTAAATGATGCACACTTCTCAGACAGGATGCTACTCTTTGTATAATGACTAGTACATGGACATTTTAGAGGTAGGAAAATAGAAACCTGCCATATACTGAGCAAGAACATAGGTCCATCAAGTTCAATATTACCTACACTGGCTGGCAGCAGCTCTCCTGGAGTCTCTCCCAGCTGTACCTGGAGATGAGGGAATATATTATTAATAGGGTTTGAACCTGGGACCTTCTGCATGGAAAGCAGATGCTCTACCAGTGAGCTACACCTTCCTAGTGGCATTGAATCCAGTTAGAGGAAAGAGGATTCCTGGTGAATTCAGTCTTTGGAAATTTCGGAATGAATTGACCAGAACTTAGTTATATACTGTCTTTCACACTTCCTGAACATTCCAATGCTGTTCTTGACTTTCAAAAATGAATCAAAATGTGCACTTTGAAAGGAAATGCATTTAGAATGCATATTTTCTGAGAGAAGTTAATTAAACACACACACATTTAAATATAATTGTAAATACAATAAATATATATAAATTAACATGAAGCTCACAGACCAATGCAGAAATACTTTGGACTAGATTTATGTATGAATGTGTGTGAAGGTGACATAGACTGGAAATAGACTGATTCATCCATCTTGATTTAAGACTTAAAATAAATGTTATCACCAGTGTTTTTCAAGCTAAATGCACTTTGCTGTTGATTCTCAATGCTTCTGCTACACACACAAGCTGACGTGACGTCTTGCAAACAAACGTGGCAGAAACAGCAATAAGCTGCAGGAACACTTAATTGTCGAGAGTTAACTCTAGGGAACCTTTCTAAGCTTGTTCTTATTGCCTAATCTGCCAAGAGTTATCTTTGATATGAAAAAAATGGGATTTTCTTGAGAAAGTTATCCTGTCTTCATTTTTCACTTTATTATAAAGGGATTGTACCCAGGTATGTCAACAGTGATAACGCTTAAAGGCAAACACACACATACACATACAACATATGCCACAAACCACAAACCCCACATCAAAGCTCTTATGAATCCAAAAATCATAACTGAGGATTAATGAGTCCTTGGTTTTCCAATTATGTAAATATTCTGTCTGCATTACACTGGGCCCTAGAGGTGTGCAAATAAACCCTGGGAGATTTGACAACTCCTGTTGATGTATACTTTACTCCTTAAAACTGCTGTTCCTACAGATATTTCACATATCCTCTCCACATCCACCTTTTATATTGCTTTCGGTGAAAGACTACAGAGGATAGCAAATATTTTAAGAAAAGCAGAACTCTCCATGAAGGTAAACGACACACCAGCCCAAGATATTTTTCTGGATATGGTGGAGCAGCAAATGCCATCTCCCCACCTCCCAAAAAAGCAAAGGGGCGCCCAAAGCCAATGAACTTATATTTGGCATATCTAATAGTAATTTCTACATTTATTATTATTATTATTATTATTATTATTATTTATCTGTCACCCTTCTGACTGGGTTGCCCCAGCCTCTCTGAGTGGCTCCCAACAAAATATTAAGAACACAGTGAAAACATCAACCATTAAAAACTTCCCCAAACAGGGCTGCCTTGAGATGCCTTCTAAAAGTCTAATAGTTGTTTATCTGTTTGACATCTTATTCCATCCCAAATGATTTTTATTTACTAGCCAAGCCAGAGTCTGCCTTATTAGGTGATTAACAGCTCAACCAAACCCAGGACAAGTTAGTTTGGAATAGGCAGATCTCAGGCTGTTCAAGCTCAGCCAGCAAAACTTCCTCAACTTGGCTGAGCCGAGCCTATGTGGGCTCCACCACTGCTCCACCAACTTAACCTGGTAGAACCTACACCAGCATAAGTCACCCCCCAAAGGAGCATGATGGGGCAAGGCAGAAAAATGAGAGACTTGCACCTATTCAAAACTTCTTTCAGCTCAGTCCTGTGACCTGGCAACCTGGCAAAAGTTGCACTGGCAAACGGAGTGGTGTAAGTTAAAGTCTATTTTGAATGTTTGTTTTCTTTTTCTCGGGCTTGAGCCAGCTCAAACGGCACTACAGCAGTACCTCGGTTTACGAACAGTCCTGTTTACGAACTATTCAGTTTACAAACTGCAAAACTGGAAGTAGTGTTCTGGTTTGCGAACTTTACCTCGGTCTACAAACGGAAGCCGAACGGTGGAAGGGCACTGGCGGTGGGAGGCCTCATTAGGGAAAGTGTGCCTCAGTTTAAGAATGGATTTGGTTTAAGAACCAAGGTACCACTGTGGTCCTGTGCCAGAACAGAGTTTGGAACACAGGTAGCTTAATTTAAATTCCTTTAGCATCCTTTACTTAGGGTTACTTAAGTGAACCCAATTCTGATAATATTTGAGCACTGCCCACGCTCTTTGTGGCTTTTGAGAACTGGAATCCAATAACATCTGGGGAGTCACAGGATCCCTAACATAAAATCTGACACACAGATGTTCTGTTCAATGTAATCTGTTGTAATCCACTTTGGTGAATAAATTCCATGAAATGTAATGAAGCATTATTGCTTTAAGGATTTCATTTTGTTAAACAATAACATTGTAGTTGTTTCTTTAAGGATAATTAAATGTGAATTAATTTTCTTGTTTGTGTAAACTAATTAACAAGATTGTTGATTAGCTGATTAATCAACAAAGTCAAGTTTGGGGAGATAGTAATTGTTGCAATAACTCATATAAGAATTATAGGTCACTTTTCTACATTCTGAAATGAATGAAGGAATTTTAGAAATGATGGAATTTTAATTAACTAGGCAGTGGAAGATGTGGAACAGTTTCCATTAAGTTTGAGAGGGAGCACGAGGTGCTTATGAGGATTTTGTAAATGAAATGGGCACATTTATTTTTAGTTTTGCAAAATCACAACTCTGAATTTTGATACAAAGATTGCTCAAGATGATTGCACCTAGCTGAGGACATCATAGTTTCCCCTCCCCAGGAAACACACACACCCAGGGATGCTGCAAAGCACAAACCACTAGAGAAATAATATCTAGAATGAAAAAAATGACGCTTGTATCTCTTGATCATTTCAGAAGTAAGGTAAGTGCCACAAACACCCCCATCAATGTGAATTCCTGCTATTTTTTCTGTCCCCTCTGATTATTTTCTTTCCTAATTAATGTCATAATGTCTTTCCTAATTAATTGACAGAGAATGGTCAAAAATGTGGTACAAATGTTCAATATAGCACTAATCACAAACTGATGCCTCCCTCATACAGGTGTTCATCATAAAAAGGTATATTTATTTTGCTTCAGAACACTTTTTACTCATATTCAAATGTTTGTGGATTTAAACAATCATCTAAAACTCATATGATATATTATGCTATCTTTAATTGTGGGACAGCTCTAAAACAGAACATACATAGATTCCATAATATAAATATTACAAATATCATCCAAGTGTAGTGGTAGGTAACTGAATGCCTGGAGGTCAAATCGGGCTCGAGAGGTTTCCCAAGTGCCTGGTAGCATATCCTCTTATCCCAAGGATTCCCCTTTCTTCCATGTTTTCTTCTGAGATGAGTTCCAAGTAAAATGCAGTCTCTGTAACTCCTGAATTCAGTGAGTAGACGTAGAGCATGAGACTCTGAATCTCAGGGTCATGGGTTTGAGCCCCACATTGGGGGAAAGATTCCTGCATTGAGGGATTGGACACGATGGTTCTTGTGGTTCCTTCAAACTCTACAGTTCTTTGATTCTATAACTAACTCTGTTCCATGCAAACAGCAAAAGAGGTTCTGGCAGGATGCTTCTCTTGCTGTGGAGCTTAGACCACATTGCAAGCAAATGGACATGGACAACACAGGCACATAAAGAGGAAACTGTCACAGCAATTAGGAAACATGGAGGCACATTGTCTGTGTCTTGGTTCCTGTGGGAGCCAGCAGGCAAGGTAAATGCTGCTGTACCTTTAGAATTGGATCCATTTAATAAGGTAATGGTCTAGAACAAGTTAAAGAAAATGTATAATAATGTTGTTGTTGTTGTTTAGTCGTGTCCGACTCTTCGTGACCCCATGGACCAGAGCATGCCAGGCACTCCTGTCTTCCACTGCCTCCTGCAGTTTGGTCAAACTCATGTTGGTAGCTTCGAGAACACTATCCAACCATCTCACCCTCTGTCGTCCCCTTCTCCTTGTGCCCTCCATCTTTCCCAACATCAGGGTCTTTTCCAGGGAGTCTTCTCTTCTCATGAGGTGGCCAAAGTATTGGAGCCTCAGCTTCACGATCTGTCCTTCCAGTGAGCACTCAGGGCTGATTTCTTTCAGAATGGATAGGTTTGATCTTCTTGCAGTCCACGGGACTCTCAAGAGTCTTCTCCAGCACCATAATTCAAAAGCATCAATTCTTTGGTGATCAGCCTTCTTTATGGTCCAGCTCTCTTGAGAGCCAGTGTGGTGTAGTGGTTAAGAGCGGTAGTCTCGTAATCTGGGGAGCCGGGTTCGCGTCTCCACTCCTCCACATGCAGCTGCTGGGTGACCTTGGGCCAGTCACACTTCTTTGAAGTCTCTCAGCCCCACTCACCTCACAGAGTGTTTGTTGTGGGGGAGGAAGGGAAAGGAGAATGTTAGCCGCTTTGAGAATCCTGAAGGGGAGTGAAAGGCGGGATATCAAATCCAAAGTCTTCTTCCTCTTCTCACTTCCATACATCACTACTGAGAAAACCATAGCTTTAACTATACAGACCTTTGTTGGAATGGTGATGTCTCTGCTTTTTAAGATGCTGTCTAGGTTTGTCATCACTTTTCTTGGCAGGGTTACTTGAGTGGCTTGCCAGTTCCTGCTCCAGGTGGATCACGTTTAGTCAAAACTCTCCACTATGTAATGAATGTTAGAATGATGTTGGATAGAAATTAAATGGTTTTTAGCAGAAATATTATAAGGGAATATGAAAAATGGATTACTAACAGGTAAAAATTTAATGTTACAATACTTTAAGATTATAGATTAGGATAAACAAAGAGGGGAAGGATTTGCTGAACCAACAAACTGAACTGGAATACAAAAAAGGGAGGCATGAGGAGGTCCGGGAAACAAGCTAATGAAAAATAAGTAATGGAAAGATTGATTTGTTTTTAACTAATTTTATTTTGTATTTTTCTTTTTTCTACTTTTATTTTGTAATATTTTGAAAATCTTAATAAATATATTATAAAAAAAATAATAAAAAAAAACTCTCCACTATGACCTGTATGTCTTGGGTGACCCTGCACGACATAGCTCATAGCTTCTCTGAGTTATTTAAGC